AAGTGATGTATATATGTCCTTATCGCCTTTTGTAAGTGGGTATCCCTTAATTCAGGTACCAAAACTTTGCAGGTTTCATCCTTCTTGTATGGGTATGACCATTGAGGAAGCAAAGAAACTGGATCAGTTCATGTGTTCAGACTGTTCATCTGATGATGATGCCAAAAGATCCTTGAATTCATTCCCTGTATCCCCATCTGTTGAGGCAAAGGTGAGAATATATTGTACCCCAAATTTGACATGACTTGATTTGAATGTGTTGTCATTGTGTGACATAGTAAATATTTCTATAGTTATCTTCACGATTCTCATGTTGCAAATTCACCTGGTCGTCCTGATAATGAGCACTGTGTCATCCTTGTACTGAGAATCTGAATGTATTCTGTACATCGGTAACTCGGTAACATTGGACAGTTTGAAATGTGGCTGATCGAAAATGTTAAATGGGCACTTAGAAATGTGAGCGTACTCATTTGGGAGACAAGGCTATGTTGTATGTGTTTATGCAAGATATGCTCTTGGATGCTTCACAGTAGGAGTGTCCTGCGAATAAATAAAATTTTGTAGAAAAATGAACTAATATCGAGGGCACCATATCAAAACTATCTGACTATATGGAGGACAGGGAGATACATCAACAACAGTTAATCTTTAAAGCACAAAATCAGTCACGTGTGCTTTTGTCAAATGTATCATGCTCCGTGTTATTATAGTAGTCTGATTATATGTATTCTACCTTTTGAAGCAGTTACTGTTACTAAGCAAATGTTAGAAGGCAAAAAAAAAAAAAATCATTGGCATTGTGCATTAAATTGGGATTGAACTTTGGCCAAGTGCTATAGTGTTTCATTTAAGTTGGGAAATGGTTTCCCAAAGTTACTGATCCTTCAAATTTCAGAAAGGATTGATTCTTTATATCGGTCAGCCTTCAGGGGTACAGCTGAAGGAGGATGTCATGGTAGGTGCTTCAGTTGGAGAAGTGCTTCTATTATCTATGTCAACACCTATTTTGGCGCTTCCTTTGATAGTAACATCACCCCTCCCGAGTACCACGTGGCTGCTCCCATTGGATTGCCTGTATCAATAGATTTGTTTTCTATTTATTCTTTTGTTATCCATTTACCTTGTGTCTAAAATCTCTAACAACAATTTTTTTTTTAAGGAATGGTTGTCCGTTTTCTAGAAACTTAAGAAAATCATAGTGGGATTTTTTTGAGTTGGCCAATCAACCTTGGTGCTAATGTATAGTGTTGCTAAAAGTGCCTATCCCAAGTTTTGTTCTCATGTGAACTCTGGTTTCTTATATTCTTGTATGTCATATGGTTGTATATAGAGGCCGCTTCCAGGCTAATAATATGGTTCTCTCTGAATTTGAAATCTAACAAGATGTTGTTTTATGTGTTTTGTCACTGTTACTGTAGATATATTCGTTGGTACCTCTTTCATTTTGTCACTAATAGGACCTTGTATTTGATCCCAATGCTAGGTGGAGCCAAAGCGTAGAAAGAGATGACCATTGGTCCGGATGCATTATAGGAGGTACTCATTTTCTTATGTATTAGCTCCAGTATTGTTGTTGTGTTGTGAAATTGTACAGTGCAGAGAAGATACTGTGCTTGCACAAGTCAGAGGCTTTTGTCAATTTACTGAGTTAACTTTATTATCTATTAGTGTTTGTGTGTGTGCCAGACTAGGAGATGACTGGTCTGTGATGTCTGCGTGACAACAATATGTGTCATTCTTTATCTAAGCGCAGAACCCTATGAACCACGCCAAACTAAATAATTGAGAAAACAGTCATGAACCTGTGGCAATTTTCCTTATTTCTAGTTGGCACCGCATGCTTATGGTGTAGTAGCTCTATTCCTTCTATTTGCTTTGGTTTGCCTGTTTTCCTTAATGAAGGAACGAAGGAAGGGATAGAACATTTAACCTGAATGACTGGTTGCGATGATGAGAATTGCATGAACCTGTCGAGAGTTTGCTGCAGCTTTGAAGTCTGTCTTACATTTGAGATTGACATGACTATATTACCATTTGATCTAATGGCATTCTTGAAATGGCTGCTATTGGGGCTTTTGGAAAACTGGTGCAACCGAACTTCACCTAAACCACCTAAATCTTCCATTATGCCAGCAGGTGGGTTCAGTTAATCCAACTTGGTTAATTATCCATCAGCTGAGGACTCTGGGTTCGTAATTTCATATCATTACCAGTTTTGTTGGGTACTCACATCCTTGTTAGTCTTGTTATGTCTGACTGGATTTAGCTGCCCTTCAATTTAGTGAGTAGGTTGGTCTTACATTGTGTCAAAAAGTTCCACGAATAGATAACATCCTAATTTTGTTCGATGTTGTAACTAAGACAACTTTTTCTCTGTTTGATGTGTTGCAGTTTCTGTATCTTGTATTTCCAAGTAGTAGTATTTTTCGTTTCCTATCAAAAAAAAAAAAAAGGTAGTAGTATCGTTTTTGGTGTAGGTACTGTGTATATGAAGTTTTGGGCTACCAAAACTGGGGGCATGGCCTGAAACTTCTTGTTGGAGCATTTCATGTCGTGGCGTTTTAGGGATTCAATTGCAGTTTATTTTCAAAAGGAAGGTTGGTAGTAATGTTCTTGTGCCCTATGATCTGGAGTGATGCAAAAGTTTAGCTGCGATGATTTGATGTACCACGAGCCATCCTCGATCATTCGATCTGAAGGGGAGGAAGCAGGTGCAGTGGGTGGTTTGGTGCATTTGCCACTGGGTTGGGTTTACCTCCAGTCTCTTCCCAAAATTTGAGCTATTGGTTCGTTAATTGCCTTGCTCCTTCTCTGTGCGGGTTGAAACGTGGTGATAAGTAGGGGTGGCAATTTTGACACGAGAAGATTATAATGCAACAATGATAACACAAAAAATTAAAGGGTTGGGTGGATGTTAAATATTAATACAAATTTAATATGATAACCTGGATTAATTGGTGGTATATTAATATGAAAAAAACAGGTGTTTTTTTTTATTTTTTTATTTCATATTGTATGAATTATAGAAGTTAATGGTTTGACTAATATAGCGATAAGTTTATTTTGGGAGATTATCAATTGGTCAATTTCAATCTTAATGACGGATTGTTAAAAAGTTAAGCACAGCCTAATGATCCCCACTTCTAATGTAACTCTGCAAGTAATCACTTCAGCAAAGTGTTTTTTTTTTTTAAGGTTTAATGGTTATAGGTGTTCGGGTCAATTTATGCGCATTTTGACTTCTTTTTTTTTTCGTCCGGTTAAAGACACAGAGCATATTTTAAAGGATGTCTCTAGATAATGTAAAAATGTCACAATTTTAGGTCCACTTCATTGGTCAAAGAGCATAGCAGCATGAACTTAAAACTTGGGATTTAAATAGGTTCCCTTCAAAGTTGAGAAGTGGGTTATTCATAGCAAGCATTTTTCTTATGGTTAGATTTAATCTCTCGGTCCTTGTGGAACTGATAAAGGATGTGTGAAAGTTGAACTCTTGGTGAAGACCTTCGATGAGAAAAATCTTTTACTCTTTTGAATCAATGTTTTCTTCACTAAAATTTTATTTAACATGTAGGTTTATTCCAATGGAAAGAACCTTCCTTAGCATTGCAGTTGATGGACCCTTGAGTCACGCTCCTAATAGGATATATTGTTCAATCATCAGATTGTGAATTTAATTTGGCTATTTTTTCAATTTTTTATTTATGAATAGTACTATGGTACCGAAAAAATATTTGATATGATATTGAAAGTATTATTTTTAAATGTCAAGTGAAAAAAGATAATGGAGAAATAGAAGAGACTTTAAAAAAGTAGTTTAAGGATCCACATGGAGAGAGAGAGAGAGAGAGAGAGAGAATATCATTAGAGTAATGATCCATCAATCTTCTAGTTTTTTTTCTAAGACACGAAAGGGAGAATTATTTCTGAAAGCAAAAGAACTTTTGAAATTGCGTGAAATAGTTATATGGTTGTCTAAGAGAAATATTTACTAGAACATTATTAAGGCATAGGCTAAAATAAACTACCCAAAAGACAATCAATCTGATCAGTTGAGTTTTGGACAGTTGCAGCTTATGTGATCTCTAGTCTTCCTCGGATGTTCCAGGGCTTGTAAAAAGACTTGTTCTCCATGCTCTGTATCAGGACGGGTTACGAAACTTATCAGATGAAACATTGGATTTCTGAATTTCTTTATTTTTTTTGTTGTACTTACATCTTGAACTATGTTATTTCTTCTTGAACGTATATATTTCTATGAAAAAATAGAATATCTTGTAGAAGTCTTTATTAAGGCTTTTTAGGTCAACTTATGGTTCTATGGAAAAATAGAATATCTTGTAGAAATCTTTGTCAAGGTTTTTTAGGTCAACTTATGGTTGTTCAAGTATCATTTCACATATTATGTTAAGTATCAAGGAAAATCAATTCTGGCTTTAAAAGGGACGTCACTATTTCCATTTTTTTTCTTGATTCTAATTGATTACCTTTTTTTTTTATGAAAGTTTTAAATCTTAATAATGACAATGAAACATCGTTTTTTTTTCTATTACTTACTGAGTCGGAGTGTAGACGAGCGAGCAGAGCTCAAGAAACAAGGAATCCTATCATAGAGCAGTCGATTAGAAGTAGAAGACTATTGAACTTCAAACGGTTTAGCTTTAACCATGTTAAAGGTCCCACACATCTCCTTCATCAGATGTTTGATCGGAATACTATTACCTAGGTTCCTAAACTTGGAATGAATGACTTAGTGTAAGTGGCAAACAATTACATGGATATGATGCTTTACTAGTAGAATTGTATGGGAGTCGTCCTCGGAGGTACTACTTTTTTTGAATCCCTCTTTAATGATCTAAAATTTCTGCTAGTAGCTATGTTCGAGAGGCAATTTTCCTAATGTGGACAAGGACATCTTTCTTTGTATCATTTTCCAAAAAATTGACAAACTGAGAGGATATGTAAAAGATATTCTTTGTTTTCCATCATGTTGGGATGTGTATAAGGATAAATCCTTCCCCCCTCTCTCTATCTCTCTCTCCCTGTAATTGGAGCTCACAATTGATTTCTGAAAACAATTTTGCTTGTGCCTTTAGCATTCAACCAAAGAAGTAAAGCATATTTCAATCTTGTAATATTCTGCAAAGATCGAAATAGAACAGGAATGGAAGACAACACAGGACATAGCTTTGGTAAAAGCCCCAATGCAGGAAGTGTAATGCCCTTTTCTAGTCATCACCATATGCTCGAAAACTGTAGCGCTCTTGGTAGAAATCATTGAAGAAGAGGTCAGCTTCAAACCATTTGGGATAACGCACAAGGTCCCCAGCAACAAATTGCATAAAGCGTTCGCTCCCTTCAGGCACAACCCTGACCTCCCCTTCCTCAATGTACACCAACTGATCTACCTGCCAGTCCCAGGGCAACTTGCACTTGCCGGTCTTCCATATGGACCATCTTGAAACCCCAAGCTCAGCCAATCGCTCTTGAGACACATTCCTTTCCACCCTTACCCTGTACAGTTCTTCCAACGGTTTCTCGATCCTCATTGCTCTTACAGTGTTACCCTTCTCAAGAGTACTATGTAACTTTCTATTCTCTCTGTTGCAACTGTTGGGGAAGGATGTCCATGTGGGAGCCATTATCACACTCACCATGGCTAGATATTATCTCTGCACCTATATCACCAGCTCAGAATGACTAGCCAAGGTAACCTGCACAAATTTGGGGAATTTCAACAAAAGCAAAATCAATAATCAGCACGTAATTATCAATCCCATAGGCTCAAAGTATAATCTCCCACAACAGATAGATGAACAACAAGTGCACTACTATTGCGCCAACACCAAGTAAATGAATCATTTCAGGCTTACACCATCAATGTGCCAAGATAGTCGGAGATGCAACACCAGGATTATTGATTTTCAAAGCTTAGATAAGGCCATGATTTTAGCACCAAACTCCTCCAAATATAACTTCTCCAATTTTTTTGACTCAAGTCAGCAAAGACTTAGTCTGTATACTAATTCCAGGCATGGTTTATGCATTATGCTGCACCCCATGCCTCTCCTATTGCTTCATTCCATCTATATCCCATTACAGGATGGGTAGCTTAGTTGTGATGTGGGGTTGCCCAGATAGACTTTTGTGAGGAAAAGATCAACAATTTGGAACAGGTTTTCCTCAATGCCAAAGAAAATCTGTCTAATTTAGTCGGTCATCACTATAACACATTTGCTATGTTTGGGTTGTTAAGTTTCTAATGCATTTTATCGAACATCATTTGGGCATAACACATAAGTTCATATGTTTATGCATTTGGGCATAACACATAAGTTTATCGAACATCATTCCAATCCAGTATTCCAAACAAACATACTGAAAAACCAACAATTTATATAGTGGCACCAAAAGTTCAGCTATCCAAAACGATGACAATACAGAAGTATGCAATAAAAAAAAAAAAAACATAGATAGTGGCACCAATGTCCCTTATTTTGGGTATGAATGATATGTTTATATGTATTTACCGACAGTGCACATGAAAATAAAACTCCTTACCCTTTTGGCTTCTTACTGTATTGCTTCTGATTGATTTTGCAGTCACCAAGGCTATAAGATTTGCAAATTTCTTCTAAAACCCTAGTCTGGAACAGAGAGGTTTATCATTGCGTTATCCAAATTGCCAACACGAAAAGGTTAGTTACAGAGTAGTGGTGGATAACCCAGGTGCACAAACCAAGTCACGTGCGCCTCGTCACATTAGAAAAATGAGTGACAGTTTGCCGTAGAATAGGAGTTAATAAATTTTAGATCCCTAAAGTATGCGTATTTTATTAATTTGGTCTTCAATATATTAATTTTATTAATTTGATCATTAAAATATTTAATTTGTGTTTAAATAATCCAACGATCCTATTAAATTTTTGAAGAAAATAATCATATGTTAATCACGTAATACCATTTGAAAGAATAACATCTTGTCATTGTCATTGGTGTCAAAATAAACTTAATAGACTATGACCATTTAAACTCAAATTTATTATTTTAAATGATTAAATTAATAAAATTAATACAAGAATACCAAATTAATAAAATATGCAAACTTTAGGGGTTAAAAGTGTTATTAACCCTTTGCGGTAGTTGAACGTGTCCTATGCTTGTTCGCATATTTCACTTCTTTTGTGGGTACTATTAGGCTTCATTCGTTCAAATGATAAGCTGAGTAACATCTGAGCTTGTAACTTTGATTTTGGCACAACCCAATAATGGTGGTGCTTCAGCTTCAACAACACTCCCTCATTTCTAATGGCGTTTCTCGGTACCCATTTGCCACTCCACCATTTCAAAGACCTAGAAATTTGTCCTTTCAAGCCCAAGCCATTCCTTCAAGAACCCAAGTACCACATTCCTGAACTTCCTCTTCATTGTTACTGTTTTTCAAAATTTCATGATGCAAATATATGTTGTTCATGTAGATTTGTATGTACTAAGCATATATCAATGTATGTTTGTACATGCATACAAAAACTATGGCAGGCATGGTTTCTGAAATTCGCAAACAACTAATTAAGGGTGTTTAAATTTATTTCTTGTAGAGGATAATGGAGAGTCTCTCAGTAAACGGTGAAGTTGGTGGTGCTGGTGGGGCATACTCATATAGTGCTTTAAAGAGGTTGGACCAATTGTGGGCCAGTATTTGTTCTGCTCATACAGGTGTAGCTTGCTTTCTTCTGTTATGTTCAAATTTGGTAAGAAAATGATTGGATGATTGGATTTTGTTTTGCAGTTGTTCAGGAACCCCAGCAAGTCGTTTCAAGTGTTCCTGGACTGTTTTGCCACTCTGACCTGGCTGACAAAGAAGTAGAGTCATTTGATGTCTTAGTTTGTGGAGGTACTTTAGGAATCTTCATTGCTACAGCATTATGTTCCAAAGGTCTTCGAGTAGGCATTGTGGAAAGGAATGTACTAAAAGGGGTATATTTTATTCTCGAGTTATGTCTTGGGATGCGAATTTTAGGTAATGATGATCAGCTATGCTATAAGATAATGCTTGATTTCTGATAACCAATGATCAGAGAGAACAAGAATGGAATATATCAAGGAAAGAGCTCTTGGAACTTGTAGAAGTTGGGATTCTAGCAGAAGATGAGATTGAACGAGCTACAGCTGCAAGTTTTAATCCTGTACATTCTTGATCTTTAGAAATTGATTTCATTGTTTCTAACTTCATCAATTAGTTCATGTTGGGTCATTAATGGGCAATGTCGACAATACAGTTTGTCTGAGATCTGTGTCAGTCTCACACCCAAGGCCCATGTTAGCGTTTAGCTATCCTCTATTCTAGTGCAACATTATTGCAGGGCTCCTGTGGAAGGACTTCTTTTATTAAGTGACTTTTTTGGGTGATGAATTTCCACATTGTTTCAATTGTGAGTGTGGTAGTTTGTAATTAAGAACCTCCAAGAATGGATCGTGAGGAACATGTGAGTGATTATCATGAGTCTTCGATCAGCAGGGATGTTACTTAATGAATCTGTTATAAAAATGATCCAAGTTATTCTATTGCTGCTTCTAAAATTTGGGTTTTGGGCAATACTAGTTAATGAGTTTGGACACTGTTACAATTCACTTTTTTTGCTTTTATGTACATTTCACTACTTAGGCAGCTATGGTAAACACAAATCTACTTGCACTTTTATTCCCCCTTCTATCTCGTGTTGTCCGCTAATTTCTTTGCCTTCTGGCTTTCGTTTATGCTTTGCAGAACAGGTGTGGATTTGAGGGGAAGGGTGAGATTTGGGTTGACGACATTCTTAATCTTGGTGTTTCGTGAGTTATACTTTCATTGTTGTTACACTATGTTATTCTATTTATGTTCCTTGATGTTATACTGATTTACAGAGTCAGCATTTACAGATGTAACAGTAATACCGTAGGACTGAATTCTGTATGATAACAATGAAAAGCATAAAGCAAAACTGCCTAAGTATACTAATAGTACCAAGAAGTAGGTATCAGTCCATAAAAAGAAAAAAAAAACAAAAGGAGTTGGTATCTCAGCCCAGTGAATGGGCTAGTGACCCCCTAATCATGGGAAAAAAATATTGATAGGAAGTTTACTCATGGAAATTCAATGTGCAATATTGAATGCGATATGTCGTCATGCATAGTTGATTGTTACAAAATTACCATTGCAGTAAAAAGGTTTTATGCCTCATTTTCTAGTGATAGAATTGCTTGGTTATGAAAGATAACCAAGTGGTGAAATAAATTATGAAATTAGCATGTTGCAATCTGAAATGGGTGTTGTGCATCATCTCATGATGTTTCCATGATTGTTGGACTTGTTGCTGCTACTTCAAAATACTAGATATAAATTACTGAGGAAGTCATTTGAAAGACAATTAGTAGGAAACGCAAGGAGCATCTCCATCACTGCCTTTTGTTCTCCTAAATCTGGAAAAATATTTCCATTAGAATTATTACCAAGTCTACTGCTTCCTTCAGATAATTTCTAAATGTTCTGCTTTCATTTGGTGGACAACTATTCCTCCAATCATATAAATGTTGGTGAGGTTCATAAATATCCCTGGAAACGCAAGTTACAAACCTTTTCTGTCTTGTGTATGGTGTGAACGCAGGTCCTCTAACTTCTAGCTGGACTTGTTTGAAACAACCTATGACCAATCTGGTTTAGAATATTTTGAACAGAGTAAAACTTCAGCTTCAGTTTAAGTCACCTCACCAAATGTCTTGAGTAGGCACTATAACTATGGTCTTTTATGCTGTAGCAGACATCTCTCGTGTGGCCAGCAGCATACATGTGACAAGTTGCCTTCTTTCTGGAGGCTGCCCAAAGCTGTACAGAAATTGATTGCTTTGCTGATCAATATGTTTTTACATCATATGATCTCATGAGGAGTTCTGCAATTTTATACTCTTGACCACATACACACTCAGGAATGCATACATCTATCATCTATGTCACTATGTAGTGTATGCAGTTTTGATGACATGTGCCACCTATTCACTTGAACTAATTAGGGGATGGATCATACTTTCTGAGATCAATGCAACTCAGTTAATCTTTTGGATTGTGCCTCTCTCTCTCTGTGCAGGCCTGTAAAGCTTATAGAGATCGTGAAAACACGTTTTAATTCCCTTGGTGGCATCATCTTTGAGGGTTGCAGCATGTCTAGCATATGCATATATGGGGATGCAGCTGTAAGATTATTAACACTGGAAAAACAATAGTACTGCATATTATGTGGTTTACATGCAGCCGCCAAAAAAAAAAAGAATTGGGCTGGGTTGGCTTATCCTTCATTTATCAAGGAAATTAAGTAGTAGCAGAATATTGCACCACTCTCACGGCTTGGACACCAATAAATGGCAAGTTCTAATGAATATTGTAGAAAAGATGTGGATGCTGAGATTAAAAACTGGGGAAACTAGGAACGATAAATTATAACTAAAATGTCAGGAAAACCATAATAGAAAATGGAAACACCAATCAAGATGGCAAACAAATGCTAATTAAGAAAATCAATTGCAGTTAAAAGATTTTAGTTGGTGCAATTTAATAGTACTAGAAGTGTATTGAAGAATCAGTATAAGATCTGTTCCCTGTGTTCTAATTGGAAAATCAGGAATTAACCATAAATATGACTGCAATTTACATGTCTTTCTTACATCCCACAGGTCTTGAAACTAGCAGACGGGAAGATTTTGTCTTCACATCTTGTCATTGATGCAATGGGGAACTTTTCCCCTGTAGTAAAGCAGGTTAGGTTTGTCTACTTCTGCATTAGTAATGCATGCATGCTCTTGATTGTTTGCAGTATTCTGTTGAGTTTGGCATATACTGGGGAATACACATACATGAGATCAGTTATTATGTGTGCACATGCACATGGGTTTGATTCATGAGCAATCAATGGTTCCCTAAATCAGTGCACAGAATTGTTATAGAAGACAAACAATTTCTGTTATCCCACGCCACGACAAGAAGATCATAAGAGGCTATTCATAAAATTGTAGTGCAAAATAGGGTTTGATAAGGCAGTGAATAGAATAAAAAACCTGGCCTTTAAATCTTCAGTAACCATCTTTCTTTTGCTGCTTAAATGTTTGAGGAAGGCTTTATGGAATTATTCTGGTCATTAGATTGCATTTGTCCTCCATCATCTGACCTGAAACTGTTTCTGATGCTATGTGTCTGTCACAGATAAGAGGCGGAAGGAAGCCAGATGGTGTTTGCCTTGTTGTTGGTTCTTGTTGTCGTGGTTTCATGGATAACTCTTCGAGTGATGTCATTTTTAGTAGTTCTTCTGTGAAGATGGTTGGAGGGTCGAAAGTACAATATTTCTGGGAGGTAATATGTTTTGCTCGCATGTTTGTTTTTATGCGCATTAATTTGGTTAGATATTCTATTATATCGATATCATCAATTGAAGCCTTTAATCTTGTTTACGTGGACGTTACCTTGGTAAAATATTCTATTATATTGATATTATCAATCGGACCATGCTATCGCGTTTATATGTGCTTACTTCTAATAAAATACTCCATTATATCAATTTTATCAATCGGATCATTTTATTGCTTCCAATAATTAAGTGTTCTCTAATGTATTACAGGCATTCCCTGCTGGATCAGGTCACAAGGATCGAACTACTTATATGTTCACTTATGTTGATCCTCAACCGGGATGTCCAAGGTTGGAAGAATTACTGGAAGATTATTGGGATCTGATGCCGACTTATCAGGTTTCAATTCAGCTCTGCAGTTGAAAATGACACGTATAGATGTCATGCTTATGCCAGCTTTGTTTTGCATTCCCATAGCATTCCATATTCGTGTCCTCATTTGTTACAAACTTTTTGAAGCCACAACGTCACTTGAATTTCATCTTAAAGTCCGGAGTGGCCACATTGTCTAAGTTTTTCTTGTGGATCAGGTTGCACTTGAGTATATTTGTGGCATGGGCCTCAGTTCCTCCCGTTTAAGAGTAGTGTATTTTCAACCAGATTATATCCAATCCCATCCAAATCGTGATGCGATAATTGATAGTGATGTTGCTGCTACTTGTCTAATGTAGACTTGGGATGGGATCAGCCTCAAAGAGGCCCCTGACAAAGCAATATAAAATTTACTGCAAATAATGAGCTTTCCAACTCCCCACTACCCTACTGACGTTTGGTCTGACCTCCATAAAGGCATAAACTGCTAGGTCATCAGGTTGCTAAGTGGTATTGGCTACTTGCACCTGAAATTCCTCATATGCTCTATTTGCAGTGAAAGCACAGGTTTCTGTTTTAGGGAGAGAGTCCATGACTCTAGTATGTGGCGTACAACGACAGATTTAGTTGAATAACAACTTAAGCCTGCAGTTTCCCCAGGAATGACTACTTTAGGGACTGACAGCTGCATTCAAGTGATTTAATAAAACAAAAATGATTCAATATGTTTCCCACTGATTTAGTTGCCTTATGCATGCAATTCACACCGATTTTTATGTGAGACAAAGGCATTTTTTTCAATAACCAGTTGAGAAGATTCAGGAGACCCTTCATGATATTGGATAAAAAAGGACGGCACGGTGCATGAGGCTCTCATCACTGTGGGTAAAGGGAGGGCCAGATGTACGCATCCTTTTATGTTATTTGATCTCAAATATATCTGCGTTATATGGCCAATCACAAGATCCTCTAGGTTGTTTCATTGCTTTTTGCAACTTACCAGTTCTCATCACTACTTATTTATGGTAAGTATCCATGCTCAAATGATCCTTCCTCTTTCACCAAATATTCTTCTGCTTCTGCTCCTATTTTCTGTTCTCTTTCCTTTTCAGTATTCATCATTAGTCCTAGTAATACTGTAAACTTCTACTTTATCATACTTCACTCGAAGTAGGCATGAGATCATTTTTCTTATCTCCCTTTTGATTGATGGTTTGGCACATGAAAACTTCACAGGGAGTCTCTCTTGATGAGTTGGAGATTTTGAGAGTAATATTTGGAATTTTTCCTACATATTGTGACAGGTAAAAATGCAAATATCATATGAACTATACTAAAATTCTCTTTGGTACTTTTATAGATATATCTGGGATCCTTCTGCTGACCATTTTAGATTAAGTTCCAGGGTTGGTAGTGCCTTGGGGAACTTTATGTTGCCAACATGTGGAATATGTAACAACGCCCCGGGTGCTTCAAATATGTTTATTTTTTTGACAAACGAAGAACCATTTCATTAAATGTGCTCACTTATATAGCTCTAGTATTGCAACTTGACACATGCTGTTAATTTCTTTTTAGCATTAATGATTCCTTATGCAGCCATATTACATCATCAAATCTGATACGTTTTTCTTCTTACTTGGCGTGGATTAACTTGACAGTCCATTGCCAGCATCTTTTAATCGTGTTCTACAGGTGTTTTACATTAAACCCTCATGAAGTCTCTCATACTTTAGTTGCGTACCAATCGAAGTGAATGAGTGTTGTGACATTATTCTCTGCAGTTTGGTGATGCTAGCGGCATACAATCACCGGTCTCTTTTGGTGGTTTTGGGAGCTTGACTAGGCACCTTGGCAGATTAACTACTGGTATGCCATTGCCCAATATTCCTGTGGCATAGTATTGCTTTTATTCGGTTGATATTGCCAAATTATCGAGTAGGGGAGTCAGAGAGCCAGCATTTGAGGCTATCGGTCATGTTTGTTAAATAACTTGATTTCAAGTTATATTGTTGCATATACAGGTTTCCTCTCATGATTTCAAGTTATTTAGTCTTTATTGATGAATACTTTATTTGATTTCTAATCATTCTATCCAAAGGATGGACTTGCATAATCAAATGCTGTAAAAAACATGCTAGATGTTCATGTGAGCAGACACAAGACTTCTTTTTCTTTATTTCTTATTGACCAACTTTTAGGGATATAATGTTTGTGAAATATCGTTAGGAGGTTTAAGAGTAATGGTATTTCATCTCTCTTTGTGTGAGATTCAAGGCATACATGAAGCAGTCAGTGGCAATTTACTGGACGCCCACAATCTGTCCCTACTGAACCCTTACATGGTGAGTGTTTCCTGGCTATGGTACTTACCACATGGCTTCTGCTTATTATTACCTTGATTAAAATATGTTTTGCAGCCCAATTTAAGTGCATCCTGGTTATTTCAAAGAGCGATGTCAGCAAAGAAAGGCACTAATGTTCCACCAGATTTCATCAATGAGCTTCTTTACATCAATTTTCAGAGTATGCAGGTATGTTTTTTTTTTTTTTTTTGGGAATAGCATTTCAGAAAATCGTTGGATTTCTCCTTCTCTGGTCAAATTCTTACGGCCCTTTATTCTCTCTCTCTTTTTTTTTTTTTTTCATTTCAAATGTGTGTTACACATCATCAGAGGCTGGGGGATCCTGTACTAAGACCATTTCTTCAGGTTACATTCTCTGTTCTTTAGCTGCATTTTTCAGTTACAAAGAGAACACTGAACTTCGTTTTGATTTCTGCTTTTCTGTACTGCTACAGGATGTTATACAGTTTGGGCCTCTTGTGAATACGTTAGGACTAGTTATGCTTACCAAACCTCTAATTATTCCATCAATATTTCAGCAGGTATCTCCTACATTTTGTATCCCATTTCGTTGTCATTTTCCACACAAGTGAATAATACACGAAGTCACTCTTCTAGTTGTAATGTTTATGCCTACGAAAATCAGCAAAACTGTCTCTGTATTTTCACTTTAAAGTAACAACCACAAGTTATTATAAGTAGATTGCATGTGCTCGCATACTTGAAGAAGTGGACTGTCTGTGATTTGCATGACCGAAGGAGAATTAATAACATAAAATAAATAAACAGCACCTACTTTCGTCCACATTGAGGGGAGTCTGTGAGGAGTATGGATTGGGTACTGACATCTCAGTTTCACTACTGCTGTCTAAATGCATCTTGATCCTTCCACCAAGGATAAGGGTTTTCTGTTCTTTTAGAGAGTTTAGGCAGTAGCAACAGCAACACTGATGCATGTTATGTTACCCACCAATAGGTAACCAATAACGATATGGCCAAGTTGCTAAAAGTAACAACTATTCGCTTACAAGAAATCTATTAGTTTTGCGAGCTTGTGGTGGTTAGTTGAAATAGCTTGGGTCTATATTATTATAGTGTCTGATGTTACAAACTACGATTAGATCAGACTTCCAAGTTTTTGGTTCTGTTTTTCAGGTTGGTATTCCAGTGCTTCTTGATTGGTCTGGACATTTCGTTATGCTGGGTTACTATACGTTTCTCTCTACCTTCATTGACCCTGTGATTAGGTAATAATAACCTTCACGCGGCCATGTTTCTTCTGAGTTTATTGGAAACATGCAGAGGGGAAAGTTTTCTTTGTAAATTTCAATATTTATGCATCCGAGAGTGAATAACTTGTATATTACCATTCTTTTCACATTTTCCTACAACTATTGGAGTTCTAACAAGCTGTATGTTTTGCAAGGCCATTGATAAATGCATTTCCAGCCAACATGAAGTATAAATGGAAACGGCAACTTGAGGCTTGGAAATATGGAGCTGGTTTGGACTACAAATTGAGCCATTCATTGAAAAGTGAGAGAGAGACAAGAAAAGTGACTGGTAGGGAAACTTGGACTGAGAGTAATCGTGTTTCATGACCTTGTAAATTAGATGTAGCCATTATAGTTTACACTGTCCAGTTCATGCCTCTGTTCTCTTTTTTTGGTTAAGTGCCTAGCTTGAAGGGTGAATCGTAATGATGCATTCAGAATGAAAGGTTTCCAAATTGTAACATTTTGAAGCTCAACCACATGGTTACAATTTTGTATATGTACCAACAGACTTCAAAATTATACATAGAAAGGAGAACATTATGGCTGCTCAAACCACTTCAGAATTACTTGTGAAGTCTTACAAGCCATTGATTGATACAACAACAAAAGCTTAACATTTTCATCCTTATTTTCTTTCACTTACAGCTGCAGCCATCGGCATAAACACTCAAGACTATGTACAGGGATCATGGTAAATAAAGTGCCAAAAATAAAATAAAATCAGTTGGATGTCTCAGCACTCCATATTTTAGAAAGTTCCTTTATAAGAGGCTTCTCTTTCAGATCTTCTTCCCTCTCCAAATGCAATCTCTTTGACATGTCTTCAGCCTGAATTTTGAGAAAAGAATCAGTCTTGCAAGTAAACAGCTGTAATGAAACTCTCCATTGTACCAATCAAAAAATTTAGATTACCCAAGTTCTTAAGGGGATCAGCCGCTCCTTGACTGATTGCAGTTTTGGCTGAACCAGATCTTTTCCTTTAGTCCGGAAGTCATCAACCTGCCAAATACATCACAACTTCATGTGAAAATGTCATCTATTTATAGGCAGCTTTGCATTATGAATGGAAGTTGGAAATGACAGTTTTTAAGAGGAAAGTAACTCATGTCGACAAGGACAACCGAAAGACCATCAGATGCAAAAGTTATTAACCCCAAGAAAATGAGAACAATAAAAATAAAATTAAAATTGTGCATGTATTTCATGATAATAATTGAATTTAACAGCTATCTCATTGTGCGTGTTGGTTTAAGTTTGCAGGCGCAAGACTTCTGAACTAAAAAGGTCAATTAATCAGCTTGGTCATGCAGTTGAAAGATTGAACAACATCCTCTGTATTGAAGCTTCTAGACCTCAAATTTCTCCAACCTAGTAATTAAAAATCTATCTAGAGATTTCTCATGAAGGACATGCTACACAAAACTCATGAAAACATCAAAATAAAAATATCATACAAGAAGTGATGGGTTTAGTGGTTTTTAATATACTATTTTTTCCTAAAACTGACCTCATAGCCACAAAAAAATGTTATTTCATCATTTTGCTTTTAGAGATCACACGATACAGTAGCCAAACACTTGTCTCTTTAAGCCTTCCAATGCCGACTATAGATCTAAAATCATCTCTGTCCGTTACTAGAATATATTAAAATAATTTCTGAACAAGGTTCCAATAGTTTTTCCCTCGCATGTTATCTGCCTTGTTGTCTCACAATTGATTGAAACACTAGAAATTAGAATACATGAGGGCATGTGATACGAATATATTGATGCTATTGGAAGAGCATTCAAGATTGAAGGCATGACAGATCTATACTTACATTGTGCAGCTCTAGCTTGGAGGCTGCCATTCCGAACGTCAATGTGGCACCACCAAAGACAATAGCAGTAGCAACAGCAAATGCCTTTCCAACTATGGTGAAACAAGACACTGGGCTTGAGTAAGCTATAGTCATACAGTTATGTATGCAACAACAAACATCATGATTCTCCGACACTGCTAATTAGATCGACTTAGTTATAAAACAAGGTGCATAATGGAAAAGCAGCATAGGCAGGATACCCTACTTGAAAATTAATTCTTCATTAATCGGTTAATGAATCAAACAAGAAAGCAATGAATAGAGATAGAGACATTGGTTCTGAAAACATTTGCCCTTGAAAGAGATGTTGGTCAAAACTCAAAAGACGGCTATAGCTAGACATTTAAAATCTATACAAATCCTCTTAACAAAATAATTAAAATTGTAACTAGGATACTACTAAGATTGTTTTTTTCCGAAAGTCGGGCAGGGGAAATTGCCACCCAGTCCCCCTTGTCTCATTGGTGTACAGATGCATGCTTGAGGATGATGATGGCACAGTAGCATTTGTATAGAAATTGAGTTTGATTATTAAAAGCCTATTCATCCTATGTATGGCCTCAAAGTTTGCTTCGAGTGGGTAATAAGAGACGGTCATAGCAGATCACAGGTTGTAACTTGTAGCCAGAATACCTTGAGTAACCAGATAAGTTTGCCAAGCCTGATAGAGCATATCAGTTATTTATACCACCATCTACAATTGCAATGCACTATATGCATGCTTCTTACCTCATCACATCTCTACCTCTGCCATTGTTTTGAATAAATCATCACCCAGTTAGATCAAGGAAACTACTTAATAGGTTGTGGGTTTCGTTCGACGGTGTAATGCATGATTTGGCAAAGTTTCACTTCTTTAACATTTCTATTACCATAGTATTCTCCAAGTGGAAAGCACATAATAATGGGATGACTTAGCAAAGTTTCAGCTGTTTGACATTTTTATTACCATAGTTTTATCTAAGTGGAAAGAACATAGTATTGGAACTTCAGAAGAATGGAGTAATGGTATTCACCAACCAAGAAAAACGGCATGGACGACTGGACATAAAATTCTAACTCAAAGGGCCATTTTTCAAGATGAAATTGGCAAAGTTTTCCACACTAAGGAACAATAAGCAAAAGGCAAAGCTACTGCAATCAAGTACCATTAAAAATAATAGAAATTCAGATCTACCTAATGAATAACAATGGTAGAGGGTGGTAGAAACCTACTTTGTGAAAGTCCTACAGCTGCAGCCCTCAACTTTTCAGGATTAACTGGAGTGTATTTGTCATGGCGCAAGTCATTCGCAGTTGAGGCCAAAACCGAGTTCTCTGCATTGGGCAACTGCCACCTGCATGCCATAACGTATCAAGTGATCAAAATTATATCAAGAAAACAGCAACTTTCAAACAAATTTATGATCACAATCTGCACTGCATATACGTTGCAATATCACTTGTTTGCCAAAGAAATACAATTTGGGAAATCTCAATAGAGAAAAAAAGTCCCAGCATTTGTTTTCATCCGAAGTGAACTCTAACGCATGAAAGAGATAAAGTTCTTGTTCCCACGTTTTCCAGAAAGTCAGCATGGAAACCAATGTCCCTCCAATCCAGAGGCACATCATTTATCAATGATTCTCATGGAAAACTCAGGTTTAGATAAATTACAAGTTTCTGCTTTCATGTATGACAAACAACGAACATGAGCCAACAAAGCTCATGAACTGAGCAATTTTTACCAAATAAGTAGTCCTGACAAAACTAATTATAATTGCACATACAAGCATCCTAGGGGTACAAATCTACAAGACCATCTATGTCTTCAAACTTTCAAATAAAAGTGAAAAAAACAAAGCTTCTGTAATTGGGCAAGCCCTCCATCAATTGAATAATTTCACTACAAAAACTAACACACACACACACACACGCACACACAACATTCCAAATTAAACTTGCAAACAACTTTGGAACCATAGGTATGGAAAAACAACCACTAAGTCAAAAGGTTTTAGATTGCTCACCCCAACTAAGCCAAATACTCCAGTAAGGCTCAAGAAGTTGAAACCCAGAATGCTAATTTATATTCTTTTTTTTTCAAATCCTCAATTTAGCCAAACACTTAACTTAAGCTTACAAAATAAAACCCTGAATCTTAATTTCCGTTTTCTTTTCTTTTTCCACAATCTTCAGGTTTTTTTCAGCTACCAAACATTTATTTCACCTTAGTTTAGCCTAACACCTGAATTATGATGATAATATTAAAACCCAGAAATCTAATTTTCTTTCCCTCAGATTTTCTCAGCCACCAAACACAGTGTTCTCCTCAATTGAGCTAACCACCAAAATTATGTTAAATACTAAAACCAGTAATGTGGATTCCCATTTTCTGTACCTAAATTTTCCTAGCAACAAAACATACAAGTTAAAACAGAACAAATAAAAGCAACAACCTTCTGGGGCCAAAGGTGACTTGAGGCAGAGAAACGTAAGCCCTGAGAGGATTCAAAGCATCTGGCGATACCAACGACACGTTATTGGGATCAGTCTGAAGAACCCATTTAGACCCTTTCAACAGAGACGAATCTGAGGGTGGTTGGAAAATTTTTGAAGGCAAAGAATGCCTCAAAACCTCTGGAAGAACATCGGCTTGAGCTTCATTTAGAACTGACTGAGAATTTGAAGTTGGTAATGAAGAAGGAAGATTGGGCTTGCTTTTCTCAACTATACGACTTACGGCGTGTTTAGATTCTTGTAAGAAATATGCCCCCTCTGCGCCTGCCAATCTCCCCACCAGGAAACTCATATCTTCCTCTTCTCTGCAAATCTTTGCTTCCTTTTCCTCTCTTTCTATGTCTGGATGTGTCTGCGTTGATTTGAATTTGTTTGTGGTGTATTTATATTGGCCAAGATATTGGGGGTTGTTTGGTAGTTGATGAAGCTGGTTTTAGTGTATACCTTTTTTTTTTCTTTTTCGATTAATTGAATTAGAGGTCCCAAAGTACGTAGTTTGTTTTATTTTAGTTTTTAATATTTTAATTATATTTTTTTAGTCTTTCGAGTATTGAAATTTTTTTTATATGGTCCCTCAAACAAATAGGGTCCAAATTGCTAATAATTTTTTTATTATAAACTTATCACTTGATATTTAAATATGAACAAAAAAATAATTTGAATAACTTTTGACAATATTTTTATTCAAATTTTAATTAAATAATTATCCAAATTACACAATTTTGATCATAAATTATTTAAATTTTGGTCAAAAATACCCATATTACACCTTTTTTTTTGTCAAAAACTATCCAAATTTTGTTTAAAATCTATCAAAATTATTTTTTTATACTTATTCAGGTATTATGTGACAAGTTTATGATAAAAATCTTTAGCACTTTAGACGTTACTTTCTTGAGAAACCATATAGAAATATATTCAATATTTCAGAGATTAAAATAATAAAATTAAAATATTAGAGATAAAAATAAGACAAATTTTATATTTTAAATACCTCTAATACAATTAATCCTTTTTTTTTTCTCAATTATTTAAGAGTATTTAAGTCAGTACACATTATCCAATTCTCTTTTCGGTTCCATTAAAAACGCCTGTGTATACCTTTCAACTCTCTCTCTCTCTCTACTCTTTTTCTTGTAATTTTTTATTAATAATTAAATACCGTTCCAAACAAGGCATTTAAATTCGGAACTGATACATAAGTATAATCTTTCATACAATCAAATGACTTGGATTGAATCGACTAGAACATCTTTTGTAAGAGTTAAACTCAAAAAATATTTTAAAAATTGAGTTATTAATTATTAAACTTTGCCATCTGTACAGAAAATTTTTTCAATCATCGTGAGGCAACATAAATTTTCTTCTAATAATTACTAATGCAGTAATATTTCATTTTGAGGCGGTATTAATGCAAATTAAAAAAAAAAAAGAATGCGATTGATGAAAGTACGATAACTTAAATTATTTATCTAATTTATTGATCTGATCAATCGTGCTATCAGATTGATGGTAGGTCCCAATTTATCGATAAGTTAAGTATAAATAATTTTATTATTAATTAAAGATGACATATTCAATTGGTTAGAAAAATAATAGTCAAAAGTACTCGAATGGTCAAGAAGAGGCAATAAACATTTTGCTATAAGGAAAATGTTTTACTAGTTATTTGTCAACATTAGTTTGTGTAGCGTACAAGAAATGTGAAGGCAAAAAAGGATAATCAAAATGGATGATGATGGAGCCCATTCATATACTAGCTTGGGATATCAAGTACCTTGGTGCCCAAGCATTAATACAGTGGAAAAGCCTTCTAATTATAGGGTTCAATTATGGTATCATATCTCTTTTTTTTTCTTTTAATGAAAATTTGACACGTGTATAGATTGTTTGTTTTATTAATTTACTTTAATTTATTATTTTCACAATCAATGTTAAGGAAGATCCAAGACCCAAAATCATTTAGAGGTATGATACCCAAAAAAATTATGTACTATATTGCTATCCCTAATTATATAGTAATCGTCATAGTTATGGTACAGTTACAAATCTGACAAAGTTTAACACTAGTTATTAGCTACAAACATTCTTTTTTTATCCGGGCTAGAGGCTGGTTGTATAAAATACAAAAAGATGACTCAGTGTACGAGTCTCTCGGTATCATGTAATCTAAGAAGATTGAGATGGAGCAACCTTATCTCACATGTTGAGAGACTATTTTATGCGACTCTATCCCTTGATGCTTAAATTACGATACAACGACTCTAGGCACTGAAACACCAGAGGCGGGTTATTTGTTGGAATATTTGTGGACAAATGTATTCACTTGATGCAATGCATTCTGGTTTGCTGCCAAACCCACAAGGAAAACATACATGCTATGCTATTTTTCAGCACTACCACTCGCATCATCACCAAAAACACATACATTCTATGCTATACAACCAACAAAGAAATATTTCAAAAACCTTTCCATAGATGAAAATTAACCATTACATAATCGATAGAGTATTTGAACAAGTTACATCATTTTAGCATTACAACAACCAACAACATTACTTTACTTTACGAAAAAAAACAACCAAGAAAAGCAGTAAATTAAAGCATGATACAAACATGCATAGTAACAGTAGCAATTTTATCGCCCTTTCATTTGCCTCAAGACGTTGGAGTCGAACATAAATGTCATCACTCAATTGATTTGCAACCTCTTGAACTCTTCTCGTTTCAATAACTTCACTTGTAATTTGAGGAGCAAACCAACTGCTAGGATTCAACCACACAAAAAAGTTGCATCGACTATCAGGACAATTGTAATATAGCCTTCCGGGATTATGTTCAGATTCTGAAACTTTGAGCGCTGCTCTTAGCCCACATCTACATCGTCTATTGCAAAACATTAAACCTTCACAACTTGCTCCTATGCTTGACGATGCCATTTTGTGACACTTCAAAACATTCGGAGGTAACAAAGAAATTCACAATAATCAGAATAGAAGAATTAACTCACCCAAGTCAATGCAACAGGTACATTAAAATTGACAGCAAGTGGAGCCCGCTAAATCCTAACACAACTATAAGGTGCCAAATGAATGCCAACACAGCACTACTACTGTGAGAGCAACTCAGTTTATCACCATAAAATCAACTTTAAATTCCAATAATTGAAAATCCGAAACTTAACAGAATTACATTATATAGAAATCCTTTAACAAAGCCAGCAAGGCCCCTTAAAATCAACATATTGCAACAGAAATCACAAAAATCTGTGAGAAATTCTCACAGTTCATCACCATAAAATCATATTTAAATTCACATAATTGAAAATCCAGTATCCAAAAAGAGCTTCAAGAACACCGAAGCACACCCCAACAACTGCATCAAACCCAAAATGCCGCTATAGAAGAATCCTACAAGCCAACATTGGCATAACCCACAAACCCAACAATCACAACAACAAAATTCACCATTTCAACCTCATCATTTAAAAATAACCAGTCAACTATAGGGAGAGTATTCGTTTGAAAAAACGTGTATAACCACATTCACATAGAAAAGTTTATAGTGAGATTTGGGCAATAGAGGAACTTTGCTACAGTATACATTCTACAACGAAAGAGATTTGTGCAACAAAGGATGCTTGTGTGAGATAAGAAGCTCTACCCGTTACAGAGGACAGGGTTATTTGCGAAGTTTGATCGCATGAGTGCAGATATGAGGTTTGAGGTTTTGTGCGAAGCTTGACCTTTTGGTGAGCACATAGATGCTATGGTGGCAGATATACAACATCTCTCTTGGAATTGTGCAAGTCGTGATCTGTTTTGAACAGGTATGAAGTGTCAAGTGTATTCTTGTGCATAGCCAGTCCCAAGCCCGGATAAGGGAGGAGAGTTGCGTAACGCAGCTGACAGCATGCGTAAAATTCGTCATACCAAACATGAACATGATGAGGTGTTGGGTGTATGAAGTCTCAGCGATTTCAAAAATTGGAGGTTTTTTTACTGTGCATGGCTTTTGTTGTAACTTTGTCGTTTTTTAACTAAGATGGTGCCTTTTAACCGAACAATAGAAATGAAACAAATGATTGATGACCCAGGGCGGCGCGGGGGTAACAGATAAACTATTCCCAAATTAACAATTATATTCTGACAGGAAGTAAACAAAGAGAATCACAGAGATATTCTTTCAAGCATCAACTAACAAGTTGCATGTCAATCCATCAAAACCTGGCATTTATTTGAAAATTTTAATTTGCATGCCTTTGAACCTCTAGGGAATCTTCAGTATTTTCTTTATTTTTTTTACCTCTTTACCAGATAGAAAACTCGAAAGGCGAATTGTCATCTTGCTGAATGCTTCGGAGTTCTTCGGCAAATACTTCACCAGCTGCAGCTCATCATTCTTCCCATCAAATATACATACTTGAATTACTCTTAATTTTGATAGGAAACAACCAGGCACTACTTGTGATTTCATCCAATTGAACACCTCATTTAATTGATTATCTCCCTCACTCAAATCAACGCTTTCTACTTCCAAATCATCATCTTTGGCATCTAGATTCTCAACATAGGCGGCCAAATATTCCAGGTTAGGCATGCTTTGAAAAGCTACCGACAGCTTTGGCAAATAAGGAGCACACAACTCCAAATAGGTCACATTGTGAAATGTGAGCGGAGCAGTACCATCAAGGCAACCAATACCCTTTAAACAGTCATAAAAAATAATAATCAAAAAGAGACAAAACATCAGCGTATATACAAACTACATATGGAAATATTTTGTTGATGTAGACTTACCCTCATAGTTGCACCAAGCAATCCCAGATACTTAACATGAGATATTCCTTTAAAAAGCTCAAGTAAACGACTTGCAACATCAGATTCCATATCCTCCCAGAATCCGTCTAACCCGACATCAATTTCTGCTGTGACTAGCGATGAGGATTGATTCTTTATCAAATACCAAGCCACACAATTATCTTCTATCATAAGGTACTCAAGAATTTGTGCATCTATCATAACCTTCACCTCGCTGCCATCGGCAAAACCTCCCCGCACACCCAAACTCAAAAAAGTCTTCAAAATTTTCAACTTAGGAGCATAGATATCAATTGTTACATTCATATCCTTGCTTATGCACGCGATTATACTCAAATTTTCTAGCACGGGACAACCAGAAAAAAACCTCTGATTTAGGTTATCTCCTGGATCAATAACAGAAATTTCGAGAGTCTTGAGATTTGGCAAATAAGTAGAGCTCGGAAAATCTATATCATGATTATCATGGAGGCGTAATTCGACAAGCGACTTGCAAGTAAAGAGTACTGAAGGCAAATCAGGAATCCCGAAGTCCGGCGAAAAAAAATCGAGATCAAGCTGTTCAACATTACGTTTAGTTACAGCACATAGCAATGAATTGAGGCGGTTGAAATTGTAAGGCGGCTCCGCTCGTGCACATCTGAGGCTGAACTTTTGAATCGTTGGCAAATCGTGAAGGAGGAGTATTCTCTCGACGGAATCCATGAATTTTTCGAAACGATCTTCCGATAGTAGATCGGATTTGGAGAGAAAGAAAATGAGATTGGGGACAGAGGAACAAAAATCCTTCCATCTTTTCGATACAACGCTAGCTCTCACGACATATTTCATCTCCAGGAAAGAGAGAATGTGAAGAAGAATGGAGTCGGGTAAGCTTTCGATGCTTCTACCTTCTACTTTATGTGCCATTATTTCCGTATTCTTCTCGTGTTTTCCTTCCGTTTCCCTCATGGTTTCTCGGGAAGCAAACGCAGTTTGAGTACTGACAAGAGATTACTGTACTGGCCAGGGCTTTTTGGTGTGACTGAGAAATCACGAACATTTGGGAAATACGAAGAGATTCGAGTGGGTCGGGTTCTATGGGCGGGTTCACGACGTCCAGTAAGTCTCGCAATAAAAAGCAAATGAAATGCCGGCAACGTGCATGGGGTTTGTGTCGGGCAAGTTTAAATTGTTTTTGTTTTTGTTTTTTTTTTTTTTTTTTATTTATTAATTTTTGGTCTGGTCATCTCCGATTTTTATTTGAAATTTTACTAAAATTTGAGTTAATATTTAAATAAAAATTTAATTTGATACAAGATACTCCAATAAAAAAAACTTAAATTTTAAAAAAGACAAACTCAACCTTAAATAAAAATAAACTCAAATTTAAATAAAGATAAATAAAAATTTATAAGGGAAAGAATCATGATCGTTAAATCTTTAAAGAAGGGTGAATTAGACCATAGAAAATTGAGTTTTTTTATTTGAATAAAATTTGAATCTTTCTTCATTTGATATAGGTTTGAATAAAAATTTGGGGGTTATTTTTAATATGTTTTTACTCAAAATTTAAATTTGGACCCTCGCCAAATTCAACTCCCAAGGCACTAGATGGGAATGTAATAGTGCTGCCCATTGGGTAGCTACCCAGACACTCGAGGAGCTCTGCCGTTGGAGTGGATGTGCTCCTCTTTGAATTCTTGTGTTTTTCTTTAGTACTTTCTGTTGTACTTACAATATGTTATAAACTTCGGAAAACAGGAGAAGAATAGCTATGGTAGTATCAAACTCAAAAAATTTGATAGAATCTTTAAATGATGAGCCGCCACAGTATACCATCAAAATAGAGACAGTCCAGAAGGGCATATCACAATATGTCAAGGAAACTCCACCATTTAGACTCCAAAGGAACAAGAAGGGAATGTAAGAGTGTTGCCCAAACACTCGGAAGTGTATCATACGAACAGTGCTCCTCTTTGAATTCTTGTCTTACAAGTGTTAGTTCTTGTTTAGTACTTGATGTTGAACTTCCGTTATGTTACAAACTTAAGTTCAAGTGAAATGCAAGACCTGATTGATGACCAGAAAAAAAACCTGCCGTATTCCCATCCAAAAGTGCATCATATGGACAGTGGACTAGCAATTCAGGGCAACCATAACTGTGTGTATCTTCTACTTTCACTGTACTTGAGAAAACAGATGGATTATGACAAACCAATCCCAAAATAAACAGTTATATTTATGAGAGCAAGTAGACAAAGAAAACCACCTAGATATTCTTCCACGCATCGACTAACACGTATTCATAACTTAATTCAAAGTGGCACTCCATACAAACCTGGCATATATTTGGATATTTTTATTTGACATGTCTTTGAACCCACCCCTAGGGAATCTCAGTATTCTCTTAATTTTTTTTACCTCTTCACCAGAAAGAGAACTCAAAAGGCAAATTGTCATCTTACTCAATGCTTCGGAGTTTTTCAGCAAATACTTTACCAGCTGCAGCACATCGTTCGTTCCCTCCAGTATAGCTACTTTAATTACTCTCAAGTGTGATAGCAAACAACTAGGTACTACATGTGCCTGCGTCGAACTGAACACATCATTGAATTCATTATCTTCTTCACTCAAATCAACAATATCTGCTTCCAAATCATCATCTTTGACATGTAGAATCTCAACATAGATGGCCAAATATTCAAGGTTAGGCATGCTTTGAAGTGCTTCTCGCAGCTTTGGCAAATCAGGAACGCACAAGTATGAATGAGTCACATTGCAGAATGTAACCCGAGCATTACCATAAATGCAACCAAGACCCTTTAAACACAGGAAAATAATAGTGAAACAAAGATTTAGGATATGAGAGACAAAAACATCAACATATATACAAACAAACAAAGATATGGAAATATTTTGATAAAGCAGGCTTACCCTAGTAGTTACACCATGTAACCCCAGATGCTTAACATGAGATATTCGTTTAAAAAGCTTTAGTGCACGCCATGCGGCATCATCTTCCATATCCTCCCACAAATCGTCTAACCCAACATTAATGTCTGCTCTAACTAGGGATGAGGATTGATTCTTTATCAAATACCCAGCTACACAATTATCTTCAATCGAAAGGTACTCAAGAATTTGTGCATCTATTATAACCTTAACATCGCGGCCGGCAAAACCATCCCTCCCATCCACACCCAAAAAAGTCTTCAAGTTTTTCAATGTAGGAGCATAAATATCAATCGATACTTTCATATGATCGCTTATGTAAGCGATTATACTCAAACTCTCTAGCACGGGACAACCAGAAAAAAACCTCCGATTTAGGTTATCTCCTGGATCAACAACAGAAATTTCGAGAGTCTTGAGATTTGGCAAATAAGTACATCTCGGAAAATCTATAACATGATTATCATGGAGGCGTAATTCGACAAGCGTCTTGCAGGTAAAGAGCACTGAAGGCAAATTAGGAAACCCAAAGTCCGGCGAAAAAATATAGAGATCAAGCTGTTCGACATTACGTTTACTTACAGCACATATCCATGGATTGAGGCGGTTGAAATCGTGAGGAAACCTCGCTCGTGCACATCTGAGGCTAAACTTTTGAATCGTTGACGAATCGTGAAGGAGGAGTATTCTCTCGAAGAAATCCATGAATTTTTCGAAACGATCTTCCAATATTAGATCGGATTCAGAGAGAGAGAAAATGAGATTGGGGACAGAGGACCAAAAATCCTTCCATCGTTTCGATACAACACAAACTCTCACGACGTATTTCATCTCCAGGAAAGAGAGAATGTGAAGAAGAATGGAGTCTGGTAAGCTTTCGATGCTTCTGGCTCCTACGTTTGGTGCCATTTTCGTATTCTTCTCTTGTTTTCCTTTGGGTTCCTTCATGTTTTCTCGAGAAGCAAACGCTTTGGGAAAACTGGAGGGAGTACTGGTTGGTTCCACTTACAGAAATAGGGCTTTTTGGTGTGACTGAGAAAACACGACACCGAAGAGTCGAAGATATCCGTGTGGGTCGGGTCTCATGGGCTTGGGTTTGTGTTTGACAAGGTTAAATCCATTATAACATTTTATATTAAATTAATTTTTGTACTCAAATATCGTGAATCTCCTACGACTAAATTTAGATTGAACAACATTGTATTAATTTAAATCAGAACAACCGTTGATAAAATAAATTATAAATTTGTTGAACTCAATCATATGAAAATAAATCTAGGGATAATTCTACAATATCAAAAAAAAAAAAAAATTGGTTGTATATTAAAATTATTATTTTTTCAAGTTAAGTTACATTTTTTAAAGGTGAAATTATAATTATTTGAAGTAAATTCATAATCTAATCAGTTTTAATTTTACCTTTAAAAGGGTGTAACTTGACATCAAGAAGTTAAAAAAGATAAGGTTATTCCCATCCATATAGGTTACATTTGGTAACCGCAAGTTTTCGTTTTTTTTTTTTGTTCTTTTTTTTAATTTTTGAGACAAATGAAAATAAAAATATGTTTGGTAAATATTTTCATTTTTTTTGTTGATCCATTTTGAAAATAATGTCAATTTTTAAAAACATCTAAAATGATGCTTGAAAACATCCAAAATCCAAAAAAAAAAATAAAAAAAAAGGCGGAAGATAGGGTCTCATTTAATAAGGTCTCAACTTCGAACCTCGTTAACAACAAAAAATCTTTCTTTTTTTCTCACCATATAAAAAGTCAAAATGAAGGAAGCTCTCCTCCATCTTCTCTCTTCTTTGCAAATTCCAACAGAAGGCTTTGCCTCTTCGTCAAAGAACTCTAGCCGACTATCTAACCTCAGGGGTGAGGGTTTCAAGGTGGGTTTTTGGGGTTTGGGGGTGAGTTTTCATCCGAGGGGGAAGGGGGTGGTTTCAGGGTGTTTAGGGGTGGATTTTTGGGGTGGGGGTGATGGGTTTCAGGAGATTTGGGGCTGGTGGATTTCAATGGTTTAAGGTGGGGTTGGGAAGTTGTTAGTAGCGGGTTTAGGTGGTGTTGGGTGGTAGATTTTTGATATAATATCAAACAGTAGTCATTACTCGTGTTTGAAGGCACTTTTAATACAAAAAATTTACCAAGCAAATAAAACATCCAAGAATATCTTAAATAAAAGAAGTGAAATGATTGAAATGAAAAAAATTATATCATATTAACATAATTCGAAAATTCCTATGAACTTAAATTAACACTATTACAAAATTATCCTACCATATATTTTTTCATGACAACTCTTCTTTCCAATGAGTGTTTATTTTTTCAACTTTCTGCTAAATGTAATGAATAAGTTGTCAAGTTCACATTGAATTACAAATCAAATTTTTAACAAATTAAAAAATAAATCAACTGAACTAACATTATCTAACGAATCTGCTTGTAGCTGCAAGGACATTTGATTTGAATTATCTGCTGCTATGACTTCTCGGATGCTACAGAAATATTCTCACACTACAATTAAACCAAATTAACAAAATCAAAATTTCACTACTTAAAAAAAGTTGATTTAACTAATCTTTTTATCGTTTCAGTGTTTATTTTGCACTATTCAATTACTTAAAAAAAATATGAACATTAACAAGGGAAAAGCGATGCAAATAAGAAAAAGAATTAATAGTTGGTTTAAAATATTATTTTTTTTTGGTGCAATTGATTTCACTTATTTTTTTTTATTGGTCACTGAAATTTTTTTTATTAATAATTAGCTTGATTTTGAATTTTTAGTTTTTTTGGTACAACTGATGTCACTTTTTATTTTTTTTATTAGTGATTAGCTTGGCTTTGATTTTTTTTATTGTTTTGGTGCAATTGATATCACTTGTTATTTTTTATTAGTGATTAGTTTGGCTTTGAATTTTTTTTATTAATGATTGACTTGGTTTTGAATATCTACAACATACGAATTTTTTTTAATATTTAAATATTTTCTTACATATAAAATCATACAAATGTTTTGAATAAATAAGTTTAATTAAGATCGTCAAGACAAACAAATAATACTAAGAGAGAAAATATGAGATAACATTGTTTGTCTTTGACGATACTAATTTAACCTTCATTCTATCTCATCTATAAATAGAGAGAGAGTATGAGAGATGGAGGAGTGTGCTTAAAATGTCTATGAGAGAGAGAGGGAGAGAGAGTGAGATAGTTATATATGTATGAGAGTTGGGTGTATGAGATAAATAGAGAAAAAAAAAGTTATATTAGAGATGTGAGTGTTAGAGTTTTAAAAGGAATGAATGTTTAATTAGAATCGTCGGATCAATAATTCTTAAACGATTTAAGTCGCGAAAAATATGAGACAGAAATCTAACTAATTTATTATATAGATAGAGATAGAGTATGAGAGATATGAGAGTGTGTATTTAAAATGTTTGTGAGGTAGAGAGAGATAGTTATATACATATGAGAGTTGGGTATATAACATAAAGAGAGAAAGAGAGTTATATCAGATATGGAAGTCTTAGAATTTTAAAAAGAATGAAAGTTTAATTAGAATTGTCGGTTCAATAATTCTCAAATGATCTGAGCCGTAAAAAGTTCAAGACAAAGAAATCTTACTACTTTATTATATAGATGTTTTTTATTTTTTATTTTCACAATTTTTTAAATATAAATAACTATCAAACATGTTTTATATTTTTAATTTTTATCATAAAAAAACAAAATTTTGTTTTTAAAAAAAAATATATATATATATAAAAACGAAAACGTAACCCAACACACTCTTAGTCATCTTACTTCAAATTACTAAGAGTATCTTCAACCATAATTCAAATTTAAATTAACATTTGAGTAAAAAAATTAATTTGATACAAATGATTTCAATGGATTAACTCAATTTAAAGAAGAGGAAACCCAAATTTAAATGAGGGTCATCTCGAATTAAAAAGAGAGTAAAGATTATCATTAGATTTTTAAAAGAGTGTAAAATCTCACAATTAAAAGTATGGATAAAGATTTGAATCTCTCTTAATTTAAGTTAAAAAATGAGTCTCCCTTGATTTAGTATAAGTTTGAGTCAAATGTTGGACAAGTTTTTTAAATCTTTTTACTCAAATTTAAATTTGAGTCAGAGATGGGGAAGTTCTAAGTTTATCCCATTTATACACACCCCATTAATTACTAAGTTTACTAAATTTATACGCATGCAATTAAACTATTAAATATATGTCAAAGAAACTGAAACAAAAATATTAATTTAAGCGAAATTTTAATGTTCGAATGTGATATATATTATTTTGTTGTATTTTGAGATATTTTCATATATTTTAACTAATGGCTTGGGAATATTTTAAGATGTTTTAAGGTTTTTTGATATATTTTGACAATATTTTAAAAATAATTATTAATTTTTTATTAATTTATATTCTACTTCTAAAGTATTTTTGTACCAAAATAATACACCGAAATAAAATTTTGATCATTGTTAGGTTAAAATAAAATTAAAAGAATTTAGTTTTTAATTAGTGAATACATATGAGGTGGACTTAGTAATTAATTAGACGGTTATATATCGGGTGAACTTAATAAAAAGGTGGAAATAACCCCACTCAAAGTAGAAAATTTTCTTTTATAAGTTATCGCTTTTATGACACGTTTTTTCTTGGTTGTAATTTTTAACTAAAAAAAAGGTGTAACTTAGAACTTTAAAAATTTAAAAAAATGGGTACGATTTTGAAATCGGTATTATGATTATGTGTGTCTTTTTTCAGATGTATAATACTGAAAAAAAAATTATTTTTTGGTACCATAATTATAACCTATACGTATTCGGTAAGTTAACATTTGACTATTGGCTATGGTTCAGTGTATGACATTTTTTTGTCATTACTTTTAACATGATATAATATAATTATCAATTTTATATTAAGTGCTAATTCCTTGAATTTTTTAAAGATATTAGGTGAATACTTTTTTATAAAAATTACTAGATCATGATCCATCGTCTACTAATTAATGTAGCTAAACATTACAAATAAAAACCTAAAAAATTATGTTATCCATTGATAAGAAAATTGCGAGACTAATCTATATTGAAGATAATCATAATGATATAAGAAAAATCTATTTAATCTTTTAATTAAAAAAAAAAAAACTTTTAGAAGAGGGTGAGACTTAATCTTAGCTATTGAAAAACTGATCTAACATGAATTTCAAATATAAACGTATATATTTAATTAAAAAAAGTTGCAATTGCTCTTTTGTGACTGGTATTAGGAGCCTATTGTCCACATGGTTTTGAATTAGAAACCAAAACTACTTGCAATCCATTACTTGTACTAAGGGCGGGGCCGGCACAATCATTTGGCTAATAAAACTCCATAATTTTTAGGTGCTTAATAATAGTTTAAACAAATACTTGAATCTATGAGAAATAGGCCGATTTAAATTTAAACAAAAAATTTCAACTTAAACAGATTAAGCTTATTAATTCGACTTATAAAATTAAAAAGTTCTAAAATTTAAATTTTTTTAAAAAAAAAAAACTAACAGTAAAACTAAAACTACTAAAAATAAAATGTTAACTCTAAAAAAAAAGTCAAGTTTTTTTCCCCGGTCATTATATATTAAAAAAAATCAAATTTATTATCATAATTTTTCATTCATTCTCTCTCTTACTATCAAATTCAACTATGATATCAAAAGCTTGAATATAAAGCCTTAATTAATATTTTTTTTTTATTAATATGTGAGGGTAAAACCAACATTATACACTAACCAAAAAAAAAAAAAACCAACATTATACAACTTCTGTCAACCATTGTAAGCCGATAACACTAACATGTGTGTCGATGTAATTCTCAAAACAACAAGGGGTGTATAGTGAAAAAAGTTAGAAATAATAAGAGGTAAGGGATAAAATTCATTAGAGAAAATAGATAACTATGAAAAAGGGGAAAAAAACAAAAAAAAAGCCGCATGACAAGAA